TTTTTAAGTGGGAGAACTTGCACAATTGGTGGCTGACTAAATACTTTTTTTCCCCACTGTATGTGTCATGATTTTACAACACATTTTATTATTTATCTTTGTTGTAGTTTGTAAAGGATGCCATGTTATTATGTTATGATATGATTGTATTCTATCTGAAATATTTTGAGATATTGTGAACAATTTATATAACTACTGTATTATTGCAGTCTTTCCAAGCATGCATATAGTCCAGAAATGAAATATTCAGCAATATTTTGCTATATTCGTTCTTCTTCACTGAGGATTAAGATTGAATAGACCAGTGATGGTGAACCTTTTAGAGACCGAGTGCCCAAACTGCAACCCAAAACTCACTTATGCATCGTCGGGTGCCAGGTGGGTGTGGCCCATTGGGTGGGTGTAGCCCATTGAGTGGGAGTGGCTGCGGTGGTAACAGCAGACTGAGTGGGACTAAAAAGTTCAATCAATCAATTCCAACTTTGCAAGATCTTTTTTTTTCCTGCGAGAAATTGAAATTGACTGATTGATTGAACCTTTTTTTTTGTACATGGCGGCGGAGGCCTAAAGCAAAAAGGTTTTATAAAACCCAGCTGAAGACCTAGGACTGGGGCGATGGCGCGCATGTCCACAGAGAGGGCTCTGAGTGCCGCCTCTGGCACCAGTGCCATAGGTTCGCCACCACTGAATAGACTGTTAGTACTCTGTCCTTCTGCAGAGAACTTTGTGCATGGCTTTAGCACTTTAGGAATAAAATTTATTTTATTCTCTACCAAAGTATCCTTATAAAGTGGGAGCAATTGTCATTGTTTAAGTATGGAATTAGATGAATTTGTATGAGGAGCTTTCTTCAGAAAGAATTTTAATGGGCTCAGGAGCTATGCAATGAATTCTGTATTAGAATCAGGGATTCAGAGATTGCACCAAAAGTCTATTTTGTGACCTCATTTCAAAGAGATGCAGTATATAAGGAAGTCAACCACATTTCTGAAATTCTGCTCTCTTCAGCTTAAAATCCTCTTAGGTCTTCCTCTTTCCAAAAATAAAGATGTGGGGGACAATTAATGAAATGTTTGTCTCACCCATTTCCATCCTCAATTTCCTTTAATAATGAGAAATATCCAAAGAGCTGTAATTGTATTAATCTTCCATAAACTCAGGAGTGTATCATTTTTATTCCAGAGGATGCAATCTTTTATCTGTGCCTCTCTGGCTGTTTCCTGACAGCAATATCAGGAAAAGATAACTGAGGCTTGGATACTCAACCTTGTTTGCTCTTTGTGAATTACTAAAGAGGGCCCATGAGCTTTCCAAAAATATATTCACCAGTCAAGTTAATCCATCCAACTCCCAACATGATATATAAACTAGAGGGAAATGTACTGATAAATTATTCCATAGCACACTGAATGTTTTTATATTCTAAAAGTGAACTAATACAACTGCCTTCTATAATGCCCCAACCAAACACTGCAAGTTATCCAGAACATATTCTAGTTGCTAGCTATCTGTAGTTAATTTTCTGACTCAAGGAGAGTCATTGGGTTCACACAGCCCATGTAATATGAAACTAGTACTACCGAGCCCAGAATATTTAAATATGCAAACAAATGTCAATTCTCAACCATGATAAATGTAAAGCAACACTGCTGGGTGTGTCTCATTATTGCTGCTCCTAGGAACTCTTATGGCATCCCAGTATCAGGATCATCTGAACATGGGCTGTAATTATTTGGTTTCTATGGATCATTACCTTCATTTTTATTGTAGC